TTGGTCGTTCGGTCGTGTGTGTGTGTGTGTGTGTGTGTGTGTGTGTGTGTGTGTGTGTGTGTGTGTGTGTGTGTGTGTGTGTGTGTGTGTGTGTGTGTGTGTGTGTGTGTCAGAGAGTAGGTGTGGGGCATGTTTATGACCATGCCGGTGTGTTTATTTGTTTGTGTTTTTGCCTCCTAAATGCATGCTTGTATTGACTGCATGATGAAGGTAAAGCGTGGCAGGATCAATATGACTCATTAGTGAGATCCAGAGAGTAAAAGAGAGAATGTGTGCTTCTAATCAACACTATAGACCCGTTATTTACCTCTGAGAGCGAGAGAACCATACAGAGACAGAGGCCCTTTCTGTGAGGTAAAGAAGAGTGCATATCTCTTCGATACTGCACTTACAGTCCTTTTTTTTTTTCTCCTAGAAGGACATTTATTTGCTTATTGCATTCCAAGCTTATTATGCTCTCCACATTATTTGGCATGTTAAAATCAATGTATGTATTACAAGTAATTGGTTATTTGTTTGGGGTCCTTTTTACAAATTACGTATGAATACAAAATATCTGTCAATAATATTAATAGAAGATAGAACAAGTGAGGGTATGCCGATTAATAATAGTTACTGCTGCTGCTGCTGTTATATTACCCCTTCTCAGACTAGACTGAAATCACCCTTTTATTTTATTACAAACATTACATTTTCTCAAATAATCCCATGGTTTCCTGAACTCCAAGGTGCTGCTTCATGCTCTGTACAACACGCCATCAAAAGCCCAAAGATATTAAGAAAAAAAATCCTTGACATAAACACTGAATCCATGATCAAAATAGTTGCTAATTCATTTTCTGTGAAATGAATTATACATTACTGCCTTCAGTGTGAGTGTGTTATCTTGTAATTCTAATGACACAAAATAAATATTTGCAAATTACTAGTGTTTGAACTTGAGACAATTTTATCTTCTCCCAAATATGGGTAATGGTTTATATTTTCATTTTCATGTTAAAATGATTTTAAGTCAGGGTAGATAATGATAAAATGTACATTCAGTAGGACAAGGTTAAAGGTGGGGTAGGTAAGTTTGAGAAACCGGCTCGAGATACACTTTTTGTTATATTCCATGGAATGCTCTTAAAATCCCGATAGCAAAGCATCTTAAGTGCTTTGACAAAAAATCCATAAAAAAATGTCATCTGTGGAAGCCGTAGTACTGTAAAAAGCACGACCAATCATTTTAGCCGGTCCGGCTGTAAGGAAGTTGCAGATTTTTTCCAGTTGTGTATTTTCAAATTCTAGCTCACTCGAGCTGGTTTCTCCAAAATTACCTACCCCACCTTTAAGGGAATTGTTAATGCATCTGTAAGGTATACTATGTATGAGCGTATACGCCTATATGAACCATGATATTCCAGGTGGCAAACTGCACATTCAACATTTGTATTTGTATGTGTGTAGGGGCCCCGGACCCCACAGCAGGAGCCAGTGTGGACGATGAGAACTGCTGGCATCTGGACGAGGAGCAGGTTCAGGAGCAAGTCAAGCTCTTCCTGTCGCAGGGAGGATACCACGGCTCGGGCAAGCAACTCAATCTTCTCTTCAGCAAGGTCAGGAGCCAGCAGCATTGTTCATCTACATACAGAACATTACAACACACACAGCACACATACAGCACACATACAGCACATACCGACCTTGAACGCTACAGAAATGCAGTGTATCCTGCTGTGTAACATCTCTCCTTTAGCTGTTCTCTTCTCTCTACAGAAGCACACACATGCAGCCTCTGCTTCTCCCCTCTGCATCCTGTTAATACATATGTTCTACTTCTCTTATATTCCTTTATGAAAAGAGCCCTTCTCTGTTCAAAGTAATCCCAGAGAAAACAACTTGCATATATTGGCACATACATTCAAAGGTGGGCTGCCTCTTAGCTGCAGCTAATTGCAGAAAGGAAGTGTAACATAAAGAGAGAGAAAGCCTGCACTATGTACTATCCTGTACCCGCGATAAAGCGATTACATGAGAGATGTGCGCTTCTCTCTGTTACAGTGGCAGCGCTAGGCCAGCATTAATGTTGTGCACTGTGTAAAAACTGCAAGCCAAGGCCATTATCATCCACCCTGGCCTGCTTTTAGAATGTCTCTGGGCTTTATGCTCTTTGATGCTTGTTTTATTCTTTACTGCACACTGACAGCCACATATACGCTTGTCTTTCACACACCCACGGCGAGAGTCACGTACCCATTTGTATGTACACCGAGCTGCCCTCAAATGATAAACACACACCCACTGAATATGCGTTATGTATATACTGTATGTGCTCCTGTGTTTCTTTGTGTGTTTGTAAATACATGTTTCACTTCCCTTACCATATAGACAAATACACACGTCCATAAAGTAGCATACAACATTTTATATTCCAAAATTTTATATCAAAAGAGTGGGTATGTTTTTGTTGCTAAAAGATGCTGATCACTTATGTTTACAATAAATTAGTCCCTGTTGCAATTAAGATACAAATATTTGATAGAGTAAGGAGGAGAAACCTCAGCTGCTGATAGTGAACCACTTCAAGAAGAAACTGGTTAAAATTAAAACTGTCTATGGAATCTGTTTTTTATTATTATTGGATCTTTAACAATTCCTTTTTACAATAGTTCTATAGCAAGCGTTGACACATTTCCTGATTTGAAAAGAATGAAACTATAACTAGCTTTTTGTACAATTGTGTCTGTCTGTTTGTGTTCATTGCAAGTGAATGGATTTACTTTGTGACCTCTAGTTTTGAAGAATATTTCTAAAGTAAAACTACACAACTATTTAGACTGCATAAAAGTAGTTTGAATGGAATTTGATCTTTCAAGTGAGAATGTGTAGAAAGTGCTTGTGCTTGACAGTACAAGAGGAATGTATTCTCCTGGTTTGAGAAAGTCCTTTTTAGCTCGAGTTACATGCTCTTAATTCTGAGGGTTTGTGCCACTTCAAGGCAAACTTGATTTGACCATGGAAGTTAAATGTCAGACGCTCCTCTCTTAATAACAGACCGCTGCCCAGTCTGGGACATTGAGTCTGATTTGTCTACAGACATTCAGTAGCTGGTAAAAGAATAGTGTCCTTTTTAAGGCACGTGGTTTTCGAAATTGTAAGAAAACAGTGTATGCAAATAAGCAGGATTTTTTTTGAAGACCTTTTTCTATTCAAATCAACTTTATTTATCCTTCCAATGAAAATTGTATCCAGCAGTTAACACACAAAATAAATAAAAAGACATAATGTGCAGTAATTTAAAACAACTTGGTGAAAAAGGTAATTCATCCACAAATAAATTAGCATATTTAAAAACAATAATAAAAAGATACAGTAACTAATAAAATTGTATTCAGCAGTTAAAACACAAAATACATTAAAATACAAAGTATGCACTAATCTAAAAAGAACTTTGTGAAAAATGTAATTAATACACAAATAAATTACCATAGATATTTAAAAACAATACTAATGGTACACAACTTAACTAATGAGTCTGTAAAAAAGCATAAAATACCCACTTAATTTGTAACATTGATACATTTTGCATACTTCTGTCATTTATTTTGTGCATGCAGTAAAAAAAAGGTTCTGTTTGTGTTCTCCCTGAGTTGTGAGAGCTGTTTGGTGTGTCTCTACATTACTGTGTGTGTCACTGTGTGTGATCTTTGCTCTCTGTTTTGTATCATGTGTGTTGGGCTGTGTATGTAACGCGTCCTCCCTGTCTCCTCCTCTCTCCCCCTGCAGGTGAGGGAGATGCTGAAGATGCGTGACTCCAACGGAGCGAGGATGTTAACACTGATCACAGAGCAGTTCATGGCCGACCCTCGGCTGGCGCTGTGGAGACAGCAGGGCACCACCATGACCGACAAGTACAGACAGCTCTGGGACGAGCTAGGTGAGAGAGGAAACGCACACCACACACAATGACTGTCCCACAAATGTACACACACACACACACACACACACACACACACACACACACACACACACACACACACACACACACACACACACACACACACACACACAGACAGACAGACAGACACACACACGACTACACACACACGACACACACACACACACTACACTAACACGTACGTACGNGTGAAAAGCTACTGATTTAAAGTGGACCTATCATGCTATATTTGAATAATATAGTGTAGGACCATACCTATATAAGGCATATTTATACTTTTTATTTTTCAAAATACCAAACAGATCATGCATTTTAGCGAAAAATAAAAAGTATAAATATGCCTTATATAGGTATGGTCCTACACTATATTATTCAAATATAGCATGATAGGTCCACTTTAAATCAGTAGCTTTTCACTTTCATACTGTATCAGTTTTGGATACAGCTTGCAGCTATGTGGCAGTGTTTGTTCCCAATTGTAACAATGAAGTGTTCATGGAAACTGATTCACAACTCTGTCTGATTTGTTAGCAGTGACGGTTCAGGCTGAGCAGGATTTCTCGGCCACAAAATAATAAAAGTGCTATCTGATGGGCAAAACACAAACGCAGACTATTATCAAGGAAAGGTCTGTGTTTTAATTATTTAAAAAACATTGAGCATAATAATTAAAACTTCCAGAACCAGTGCAGCCCTGAACCACCATAGCTCTTGTCAGGGGACTCCAGCAGAGAACTCTATAGAAACACCTGAAGATAATGTATTTTAATGTTAAAAAAATTAAATAAAATGCACTTCATTATGCAGCATTTGGCTGGCACTATCTACATCCTATACAGCACATTTGAAACTCAGATTCAACAATTAGCTTTTTGAAAATAAGTTTTCTATAGGTGACACTATGAAGAATAAAATATCTGCCGTTCTAGAGGAAAGTGTCAAGGCCTTGATGTATTGTGGAAACGGGGCAGAGTAAGTGTGTGTGAAAGAGAAAGACACAGAGAAAGAGGGGGAGTGAATGCTCTAGATAGAAGTTTTGATGGTGATGGTGAGGAAGAGGGCTTTTGGCATGAAAGAGGCCGGTGTGTGATCATGATGTCATTAGGAGTATACAGTGAGACAGGCCGGAGGAGGCTGCTGCACCGCGCTGAACCCAGGGGACGTCATTACCAACTGGAACTGAGCAGGGACCTGCGCACAGGTCAGACACACAGGAAGTGGTCTCGCACACACACGAACAAGTGTAGGCTTACTTGCATGGATACACACATACACGTTTGCTTTTATGCTCTGACACACACACACACACACACACACACACACTTTTCCTTGCAGGCAGGCATCCATCAAACAACAAATGGACAGTTCTGTCTGGTCTCTGTCAGCAGACGGGTGCTTTTGTTGCTAAACCTGACAAATTCCTCAATATCTAAGCGGACACCTCTATGGACAAATGTGCCTCATTAATGAGCGCACACAGATGGACAGCATACACACACACACACACACTCACAGACTGAAAGCTTGTGCTGTGCTAAGTTTCAGTGTGTATACCGGTGTAGCCGTCTGCGCTTCATTACTGTTCACACACAGACAGTTGCAGTGTTTTTGTGTCAATGTTTAATGAGGGGCTGGGAGTCTGGGGACCTTACTGCTGTCAGGAGCTCCTGTAGTCTGGAGCTACCACCTGTTCACGTTCACTCCCTAAAGGCCCACACACACACACACACACACACACACACACACACACACACACACACACACACACACACACACACACACACACAAAAACATGTCTATACAAACACACACACCTGACAAACATACACTGATTTAGTCGTCCTGTGGCCCCACTGTCAGTGTTGGAGGCATGTAAACAGGTTACTGTGGTTGGATGAGCCGGGCTGCCTGACAGAAGCTACAAAGACCATGGGAATATCAATTGATACGTTTCATATTCCTCGTCGGCTCGCATGAGATGACAGCATGAAAGCTGCTGCCAGTGAGTGATCTCTCTCTGACGTTTTCTGACACCAATGTGTGATGGAGATCTGAACGATGCTGACTGATCGCCACTCAATGATACACAGACCAACTCTCAGGCCACGTCCCATTATAATCCATACAACTCCGTGAGAAACAAAAAGGAAAATGTATCTTGCCAGGGTGCAAAACAAAAAGCAGGGAGCGTCAATATACATTTCAAAAAACTAACTTTTATTAAAACAAAAACAAAAAAAATCAATTATTGACTCATTAACAAGATTATAAAACAGTGATTTAGTTACATAAATAAATTGATATCGGTGTATCAAATCTTAATTTCATAAGCATGTATACATGGGTCATTGTAATAAATAAAATGGGAGCGCAGAAGATTTCTACACAAAAAAAAAAAGAAAAAGAAAAAAACAGCTAGAAAGACTCAGAGGAAATTGTTTCTGAAGAGAACAAGAGACACTGGACAACGTATTTTTTCACCAAACACACGTGAGGAATTGCTTTGTTAAAGCATGAGTTACACAGCCATTCACTTACTAATTAAGGACACTAAAGCTGGGACCAAGGTGGGTTGTCTCACCTCTTAGAACGCGTTTGGTTGTTAGATAGATCTCCTGTTTGGTTACTTTAAAGCGTTAAGACAAGGCAAGAGAAAAGGCTGCTTTTATCTTTAATGAACACAAGATAGAAAAAGATGCACAGAAAAAGAAAAATGAGACGTATGAAGAAGGTAAAAAGGCAAGTAATGATAGGACAGCTGAACATTGCGGAGGAGACACCGGAAATGCTGCGTTGAATGAAAGGGAGAACTGAGTAGTTTTTTTATTCTTAGCTGGATGGAAACTGTGCATAATTATCAATGCAAGTCTTGTTGAGCTGCACAACTATGAAGTTGCTCTGACAAGCATTGCACCATGAGGCTGACATCAGCCAATGTATTCAATGCATGTAAGGCTGAACACAAAATACATGATTTTCAGGCAGATTAATCTCCAATCAGCTCCTGTTTGAAGTACATTACAGTTTTATTTCCCCATAGCATCCTATGGAGAACTAGGCTAGTGCAACAGCTTACATGCATAATTAAGTTCTGTATTGTGTTTTCAAACATTTATCAACCAATTGTCAAAGGTAATTTATCTCCACCCCATTTCCATGATTTTGTCGCAAGGAATGAACAACATTGTTTTCCTCCGCCATCCCCAATTTGAATCAACCTGCATTTCATGATGAGATCCAGCGTCCCACATATGAACAAATGAGGCCCTGTGAGTCCAAATCGACCATCAACAAAGTCAGTCTTTCTGATATGTTGTTTTCAACAAAAGAGAAAAGAAAAGAGAAGACAAAAGAGAGAAGGAGAACGAGAGAGAGAGAGCAAACTACAGCGGCTTCAAGTATTTCACATTACATAGAATACTCTGTATAAATTAGTTAACATATACTTTCAGATCCTCCATATTCAGACATATACTATGGCATATATACAGAGTACAATAAATGCTCGCTCATGTTGTGTCATGTTTTTGTCTTTTTCCTGTAGTCAGTCGTTCATTTGTTCCGCCTTTTTTCCTGTGTAGAGAAATCCCTGAGAACGTTCTGGTTGACAATTACTGAAGGTTCCACACAATGAACTTTAACAGTAGAGAGTCTAATTTCTATGATTCACATGCACAGAGGGAAATGACACTGGCCTAGTCTGAAAATACCGTACAATGGTGGCTGTAAGAGATGAGAGGGGACTGACATACTGAAGCATCTTACAAGTCTGTTAGAGCCAATTGTGGGGGTGTAAGTACCGATGCCGGGGCAGTGACGTACAGCAGAGTCCAGCGCAGAAAACACTCCAACTCCACATCTCCTCATAACCTCACTAGTGACTCTCCTTAACGAAAAATGTCAGCTATCATAGATGATACATATCATGATAGCAACCAAAAAAAAGGAGGGTGGGGGGAGCAAGTTACCATTTCATGAGGTAGTCGTCTCCCTCTGGGTATCTACTTCAACTAGAAAACTCAAATATAAAGTGTATTAACTCAAACTTGGGGTGTAAAGAAAACACAGCTGTACAACATTACGTGAATGTAACAATAATACTCTTTATCTTTGTGTAATGTGCCATCACTGTATTGCCTGCGTACTGTCCTCTGTCTTAAACAGGTAGTCATTATGGAGGTGGGTCGGGGGGTTTCGACAATAACATGAGTTAGCTAAGAGCATTGTTGTGTGTAATGAAGCTAATGCCTGGGACCCAGAGAAAACTAATGGCTGCTCAAGTGCTGCTGCTGCTGCTACTGCTGTGTCTAAAGAAATGCTGATGGCGGCTTTCTGTCAGTGCTAACCCAAGCTGTGCCGAGCCGAGCCGAGCCGAGCAAAGCTGTGCATTGCTGCCCAGCACCCACTGCTGAGGGCCTGGACAAGGGGAGGTGCTCTGTGAGGTTTAAAGCCTTAGTTTCTCTTTGAGGATGCCGAGACTTAGGTTTTTTTCTTCTTCTTTTTTATGTTTTTACATGAGTGCTATTGAAGAAGGGGCTTCAGCCACTTGACAATATATAACTCAATGTACACTTAAAAAAGGGAAAAAAGGATGCTTTAAATCATAAAAATAAAAGAACTAAAATAAAAAAAAAAGCAATTTCACTTTTCATTTTCCTCTCACACACATGTAGAGAAATACATACAACATTCACAACGTGACAAATTTCCTCTCTTCTGAAAAATAAAAACACTTCTGTACACATAGTAGTAATAATATTATTAATAATAATAATAGTAATAATGTTTATAACAATAACAACAGCAAGAACAATAATACCGCGTGTGGCTCTGTTGATTTTTTTGTCATCTTTTCCGTTCTCTTTTTGCTTCATTCTACAAGTCACATCCCTCTTTTTATTTGTCTATTTTATAAGTCCAAAAGAAGTTCAAAAGGCAGACTCAAGTTAATATAAAAGTACTAGATGGGGAGGTCAGCCTCCCTCTCAGCCGAACCTCTCCCTCACTAGCATCATAAGTTTCTTTTTGCCCTTGTAGATCTGTTTTAGGTTGTCTATGAACTGGGTGAACTGAATGTGTCCGTCGTGAGCCATCATGAACGTCTCCCGGGCCTTACCCAGGAACTCTATGAACTCACTGTAGTGGCGCGGGCTGATGTGTGTTAGCCGCGAGTGTGTGGTGTTGATGTAAGCCCCGATGGTTGCGTCCAGCAGCTGCCTGAGCGGCGCCTTGTCCAGGGACATTAACTTCCCAGAGTTCCTGCGGCTGTGAAGTGCCGACACCATGCCCGGCGTGGTCAGCGTGCACCGCCGCAAAATGTCCGAGAGCACGGTGGCGCACTTCACGCTCTTGACCACTAGGGGGATAACGGCAGCTAGCTCGTTTTTCCCTAGCGAGTGGCTGAGCGCACAGGCCCACAGCACATCGTTGATGGCCGGGTGTGTGTCCTGGTTGTAACTGAGGTTCAGATGAGCCATGGCTAACGTCGCCAGCTTATACGCCCTCATGGGGTAACCCCGGTGTTCCATGTAGCGTGCTATAGTGAACAGCTGCGTGTAGCTCATCCCCGTCGCCGCTGCGTCCAGTACAATCTGGTAGGCTGTCTCGAAGGCAATATGGTCCTTTTCACAGAGTGTAAGAGCAGAGAGGGCGCAGTTTTGGGGGTCCTTCATGGCACACTGCAGGGCGAGGGTCCGGGCAGACGAGGCCAGGTTCTCCTGCTGGTGGCAGTCCAGGTGAAGGCGGACGATGGTGCTGTTGGACATGACGGTGGTGGCCACGATACTGGTGGCTTCTGTGGGGGTGAAGAGGGTGAACCAGCTCTGCATGATGCTGTCCAGTGCATACACACCTGGCAAACACACACGGGACAGAATGAAGAGAAAGGGATTAAATTGAGTACATTTTACATTTAAACAATCAAATGGAAACCTTTAAGGAGCCAAGCACACTTACCCACTTCAGTGGCACATGTGACTAACCAGCGCACCATCTCTCTCCGCCTCCAGTTTAATGTGGATAGAGTTATTCTCATGACCTAAGAAGGATGGGAAAAATGGGGACACACAGTTGAGTTTCGGAAGAATTAATTTAAACAACAATAAATGGTAAATGGACTGTACTTATATAGCGCTTTATCCAGTCTTTAAGACCCCTCAAAGCGCTTTACATACTACATGTCATTCACCCATTCACACCCATTCATACAGAGCAGTGTACCTTACTCTAGGACCTAACATTCACACACATTCACACACCGTTGGCCATGCCATCGGGAGCAACTCAGGGTTAAGTATCTTGCCCAAGGATACATCGACATGTTGACTGCATGGGCTGGGATCGAACCCACAACCTTCTGGTTGAAAGACGACCACACTCCCTCACAGCCACAGTCGCCCCAAGTTAGAGATAACATCTCTAACTTGGGGCCATCTGCACAAGGAAACTGAAATATCTCTACCATTCCCATTGAGGCCTTTTTTTAATATAATATATTATACAGTAGGGTAAACATTGTATTATAATTCAAACAGTCATTAAACAGGGACTCATTTTTCTGTGGTTGATTTGTCATCAGATACTTAAACCTTCTTTATGTTTTACTTCACATTTTCACACAGCTGCTTTGGGAATGACAAACCCTTAGGCAAACCTTCAAAGTAAATACTTGTATAATGGAGCGCAAGGGGAGTATTAAAAGGAATGTAGTCTGTCCAAGATCGGCTTAGTTAACCACAGCAGTGCAGGCTTGCTTCACAAATGTCAATGAACTATTTAACAATGAATTCTACAACTTTTTTGTGTATGTGAATCAAATTACACCATCAACCCTGCGCACAATCAAAAAAATGCATTTGATGTAAGCCTTGTTTTTGCTTATGACAGAAGGAAACAATGACAAGCACGATTCTAATCAGTCTAAGCAGATAATCATTTGTATCCAACATCAACTTTTGTCCAGGATCTATTAATGTAGTCCTCAGTCATCTTCAGCGTCTTTTACAACACCCAGAAATGTTTACATTTTCAGAAAGCTAAAGGATACACATGGTCGGATCAGTAATGGTATGGTTGATATCTCACAGGAACAAATGCAAATACTGTTCCTTCAAGGCGATAATGCCAACACAACTTTTTTCATGAAGTTTCATATACATCCTTGAACCTAACATCATAAGTGAACCATCCTGGCAGTAGTTTTCATCCTCAAAAGCTGTTAGAGCTTTCCGTACAAAAGTTATCATATAGCTATAATTTCAAGAATTTAAAAAGGAGTTTCATGGGGGTCTCTATTTTAACTTCATTTAAGTAAAGCATCGCCATCACACATACATAAGCAGAGGGGTGTTATGAATGTGTCTGGTTTCCTTATAATTTGTATCCCAACTACACCTAATAAACCTTAACATTATTAAAACCCTAATGTACACACTTATTTGCAATAACAGCAGGACAAGCTCTTTAAAATGTGCCAGTAAATATACATCAGTGCCCATTTTGGCGTGGTCACGTACCTGCAGTCCGAGCTCCAGAGAGACTTTGAGAAGTGTGATGTCAGGAAGGCTGTCCATCAGAGTGGCGATCTTGAACGCATCTTGTGCAAGTTTGAAGATGTGAGACGAGGAGTGAATGTTTTTCTGGATGGACTCCAAGACTGTCTCCAGCCTGCGACTGTCACCTGGAAGGGATTTGAACATGAGAAAGCTTTAGACTAGGATTATATGTGTATGTTTCTCATACTTCCAGAGAGTGTTCACCAACAGTCTTTTCCTGTGTGTATTATATTGTGAATATATGCGCACCTTTGGCAGCAGTGAGCATGGTGGAGGCAAGCTCACACTGCTGAGACTCTATGTGGCTCAGGGTAAACCAGCGGGGATATCGGTTGGGCACCACGGACACGATGTGGTGGGGTCGTGACAGGTCACCAGGCGAGGCCGTCGACTCCAACACAGGCAACCTGACGGAATCACAGACAGAAAATTAGATCCATGTAACGCTATTCTGCGGAAAACAATTAAATACATGATATCATTCAAAGTAAAGTTTTTAGACTTTGATTATCATAATAGGTGAGCATTGAGTGGAGTATGAAAGAGAATAATGTAAGAAAAACAGATGGGCTGAGAGATAGAGTGAATGAGAATCAGAGAGAAACACCAAAGGTCCACGAATGATCAAAATCTTGTGGAAATCGGACAGAAAGAACACTGTTCAGACGGAAAGAAGTCTTCATTATCATGGTCTGAAAGTGACTTCAAAATGAAAATGACTTTAGTGATCACAAGGGGATTACAGTTAGCTTATCCCTGCAATTTACTTCTAACCTAGTAGTTAATCACCTAGAAACCACGGTATAAATAGTATTTTCTTCATTCTAATTGGTCATAATGAAGTCAGAGCTGTGCAACACCTGCTAGTGGATGAAGGGGCTTCTCTAGTTTCAGTCTCTCATTATAATAGTACTGACAGGGCCAAGTCTTCACCAGCACCAGCACCATTACCACTGTGGCCGGCTCATCTCCTATTCTGCTTCACTTCTCTTCCCTCTGCTCCCACCTCAGTTTCAAAGGTCTTCTTTCCCTCAGAAGACAGCACAACCTGGCCTTCTCTCAGCCAATCACAAAGCTAATTGAGTCCACGGGGAAATTAAGGAATTCACCTTCCAGCCCCGTAAGGCTGGACACACATCAAACAAATACCGACACACATGAATGAAGCACATGAATCAAGCACAAGCACACACACACACACACACACACACACACACACACACACACACACACACACACACACACACACACACACACACACACACACACACACACACACACACACACACACACATACTCATTTGATTGCGAGGGTGTGGAGGGTCATGGTCAATAGGCAGTCTAAAGGCCCAGATACACCGGCCAGTCACCTGAGAAGTCTCCGACGCCGACACCGACTGTTGCGTCGCCGGACTCTCCTGCGTATTTGCCGACTTCGCGCACTGCAACACACCGCAAATCCGAGCCGAGCACGTATGAACTGTGCATGCGTGAGTGGCAATAACTCTCCTTACCAGCAGGCGGCGGTAGTGTGTATTCATCATTCAAAAGAGGCAACAACCGGAACAACCCGAAGACAGAGAAGAAGAACAGACTCCGTGATATAAACAAACAACAAATAGCGTTTTTCTTTCCATTTTCACTCTCGTCCATTGAAAACATGAACGAACAGGAGCTCTATAAACCGATGAGGTGAAATAGCCATCCGTGTGTGTTCCATCTTCCATTTTAAATCATTTGTTTACCTCCCTCACTTCCGTTAACGCTTCTCATGCACTGATTCGCTAGCTGAACAGCCAATCAGTGTTATCCCTTTGTCCGACTTCCACTTCAACTACATGTTGAATCGGCAAGAAAAGGCGTCAGATCGGCAGAAAAGACCCGACGGTGCGGCGCACACCACTCCGAATAGGGCGTGCCCACGCTCATGTTCGGCCCGACTCCCTTTTACTGCCGATTTCGGGCCGGTGTATCTGGGCCTTAACACCTCTCCTCATTATAGTCCAAGGCTAATGACATAGAGATAGACTCTTCTTTGGCTAATGTGATTCTCAGTTAGCCACTTGTTAGCAACTGCTTCAGAATTTCACGAGTGGGGAGTTTATGAATGTATGTTATGTTGTCGAACCAAATGTTAAACATTTTGAAACTCATGTTAACCACATACCAGGTCCCTCTGATTTGGTATGGATCGCTGTCACACACATGCACGCACACACACATTTCATTTTCAGGGTGTGGAGGGGTCATGGCCAATAGGCTCACACCTCTTTTCATTATATTCCAATTCTAATCACATAGAAATAGAAAAAATGAGCATAAAACGGTTTTCTATGGTCCTTTTACAAGTACCTTATCTTAGTTGTTATAGTACCAAAAAAAAATTCAGTAAGGGCCGTAAAGGTTGGTGACAGCTCACCAGGAAGAAATAGAATAAAATAGAATAGAGTATATCTTTGTTGTCATCATACAAAGTATAACGACATTTCTTTGGCAACTCACACTGTAGTAAAAAAAAAAGAGCAGTAAGACCTAGCGATGCTGTTTGCTACCAGCAGCATTCGGCTTGAGTTCCCTAACCAGTTTAGCACTAGTTAAATTGCTAACTAGCAGATAGCTCATGTGTTTATTCCGCATGAAAAAGAAGGTATTTGGTGACACCATCGTTTTTTCCGGGTTTTGTCTTAGCTATAGAGTCGTGCAGGGATGACGGAAGAAGTTAGTATCACATTGGATACCTCAACAGAAACGCCAATAGGATTTTCCTATTGGACTTTTACAGAAAATGCTAATGCAAAAGAAGTAGAAAGCTAATGTTAGGCTATGAACAAACTTCAGGGGAGTCTATGGTGCTGTTTACACGAGAACGCAAACGGTTATACCCGCTACTTTTCTCTTTCGTATAGCCTGTCCGTTCACACGAGGCCGTAACGGAAACGCGGAAACGGACCCCGCAAACGGTAACGGGTCCCAAGGTGGATAGATCTGCAGACGGAACGCTCTGGGGGGCCAAACGGCTCCGTGTGTACGTCCTATACAATAATTTCCTGATAACGATGAAGCCATAGCCCCACCTCTCCCCACCTCTGCTGCTCACTGCTATAGCATGGTCAGTAGCTACTGTCAGTAGCTACTGACCATCTACAGCTCCTCTACCACAACCATCAGGAACAAGTGGACATGGAGAATTACATGAACTAGATGTTGCTAAATCCACCGCGGGGCATAAACAGAAGGGCAACCATGGCAACCATGCTCGGGGGTCTTATTCATTCGTTTTGATATATTTTGTGGCGGAAGTACAGCGCCACTTACAGGCCCGGAATATGTACAACAGCGTCTCCAGCGCTTTCGAGCGGTCTCGTGTGAACGGAAGACTTTTTTGATATTGTATTCGGTTTGTTTGCCTTTCGTATGCGTTTGCGTGTAAATGGGGTCTATGAATGTTTTTTACGTCAACCACATACCATATTTCGGGGAATCAGAAGTCCTCAAGTGCACCACTTTTTTAGGGGTCTAGCTTAATCATTCCAATTATTCTCCTAACCATAAATCATGTTTTAAATAAATCATAAATTGAGTCTGCAATCAGTTCATTGGGTATAAAACTGGAATATTACCAGATAATCTGGGACCAACATTACTGCCGACCATTTTCCCAGACTAATTGTAGGAAGGAGTGAAACGTCGGAAAACTCCTGTCGTCACACATAACCTCTTGTTGAACCATAACTTGATATATTTATATATTTCCGCACTCCTCTGTCTTCTCTTGTTGGTCAGTGAGCAGCTACTCATCTACTTCCCTCTCACAGATTTGTCAGTTTCCACTCCAGAGCGCCTTCTGGCCAAAAGCCCATTTCTCTAATATCAATTTATTAATAGTTCACTGACATTGCTCAGAGAGGAGCTCAACATGTTACGGTCTGTCAATCATCATAATTTTATGTGAATAAGTTGTTTGTTTTTGAGATAGTTTTGCACACAAATACAATCCCATGGCTTTGGGCAGGGTTTCTTGTCCTGAAGCCAGGTCAACAAAAGTCAGGGCAATCACAGAATATGCAGAGAAGCCCAAATATCACATGAAGGAAAGACCTGAATCATTATCGCAAAAGAGCGGTGCAATGATGACGCTCTTTAATTGGCCAATGCAGAGGTTAGCATCGTAAAGTCTTCAGCTAATAAAAGCGATGGGGTTTTTGAATATAATATGACAACCCAGTCTCCCGGCATTTTGTGTTATAGTCACAAAATTAATTTAATCTATTGATTCGTGTTCACCAACACGATTTTTCAATTTTTTTCGTGTCACACAGAACGATTTTAGAAGCAATGTATTTCTATTGGTAGTATGTCTCGTGCCTGCACCACGTCTTTTTGTCCGGTCGGGTCTTGGAAGACCGGAAGCTGTGTGGTTCATAAAAACATTTTCTTACTCAATATCTTACCTTAAGCCTAACCCTATCTCTTTTATTTTAAATTGTATAATGTCTGAGTTGTTTTGCTGTCCGAGAGGAAAATAAATGGCTCAGAGCCTCAGAATACTGAAATCTTTTCTTTTTTTTTTTAAATGTTCCTTCTAATTTGTTATTATTTGGTGCAGGCACAGAAAATACTACCAATAGAAATACATTACTTTTAAAATCGTTCTGTGTGACACGAAAAAAATTAGAAAATCGTGTTGGTGAACACGACTCAATAGATTAATTTCGTGACTATAACACGAAATGCCGTGAGACTGGGTTGAATATGATATTTGCACGTTTTGTTCTCCACATAGCTACATAATTTTAATGCATCTCCAGAAGTAAAAAGCTAATAGACAAACTACCTCACGTCACATGACATCGGGTTAAAACCACTGAGCTAAAGGCGGCTAATGTTTGGCTTGATGACGGTTTGTAGTCTCATTTAGCCACTTGTTAGTAGCCACTGTTTTTAATTAAAGCTACAGACATTCACCAGTGAGGTATTTACTGACGTACTTTATATCATAGAACAAAACGTGAACATTTCTTCAGCTTGTTTTAACTACAGACCTTATTTCAAGCTTCTAACTAAAAACCCATTCAAAAAAAGCATGAAGACAAGCGAACTAGAAGCGCTAAACGCTTACAAGGATTCCTTCCGTCATTTTCCATACTGTTGACAGCCACTAAAGCAATCAATAATCAATGTTCTCCTGTTTAAATCAGCATGGTGGCTCAGCGAGTCGCAGCTAAAAGCTCCAGGGTTAAAATCATGGATGCATAGGAGACACAATGTAGGTTATGCACATGATTTGGATTCACTGAACTGCCATTGGGGGTGTGATTGTGGATGTGTTTTGTGAGCAACACACTGGCAACCTTTCCAAGGTGTTTCTTTGTAGAAACGTGTGTGTGAAACGGGGTGTCGGTGTGAA